AGGTTTGTGGTAGTAAGAAGGTTTTATAGAAAAAGAAAGTTTTTTTTTACGCTATTTCTAGTTTGATTGTGTTTCCTTGCCGGGAAAGACTTGAATAAACGTAGTAAGGCCTACTTAATTCTCTTAACTTTACTTTTACAATTTTACTTTCTCGTCAAAGCAACAAATATGATTTTGGTTTCATATTTCAAACGTCAATATTTTTTCGTGTGTTTTTATTATTTTTGTAAAATGTGGATTATTATGGGGGTGGTTGCTCACTAGCCCATTTAACCTCACATGGAAAATGAGGTCGAACCTCTCATATGCCAAAGAGCGTGGTAGTGAACAACCACAACACACTCTCGGCCATATTTCAAACATCAATATATATGTGTAAATACTCTTATAAATATTTTCGAAATTTAACAGATTTTTTATTTATTTTTATAATCGGGTTCGTTTGTTGTTTTATCACAAATGATGATCTAATTCTCTCTACCAATTGGAAAGATGATGAATTTAAGTAAAGACTCATGTTTGTAACTAGAATTAACCCAAAAAAAAATTACCTTTTTGTCAACAAAATATAAATTAAATAAAAGGTTTTCAAAATCCAAACCAAACCAGGCAAAAAAGTATCATCACAATATCGGTGTGGTGACCAAAAAACTATCTCACGCTCAGGGCCGTTCCTGAACCAAGCGGGATAAAGCATTAGATTTGGGTCCCCATTTAATTTTTTTTTATGTGTATACAACTACCCTTTTGTTTATGTATGAAATCGGATACGTTTGATTATGGTTTTAACATACGAAATAGGGGCTCCCGTTTTTTGTTTCGCTTGTGGCCTCATTTATCTCAGGGACGGCCCTGCTCACGCTACAAATGAACTCTCAGATCGTGAGATGTCATCTATAATGCAAGCTTAGTCTCATTATTCTTGGTTAGCTCCTTCAAAATTAAGCCTAAAATGTTATTTACACCTCCATCCAATCAACACTTAAATGGTCAAGTTTTTATTTTTATTTTTTGGAAAGACCTTGGAAGTTCCGGATCTTTGATCCATAATCTCTCCCGGTGTGCGGGACCAGCCATTGATAATACCGCATTTAAGACGTAAATCGTTCCTCCCAAGTGGAGTTGAACTAGTGATCTTAAACTTGAGAATTTACTGATGACATAATAAGTAAATCATCCATGTATAGATGGTCAAGTGTTAAGATAACAAAATAAGTGAAGCGTAATTTTTTTTATGTTAGAACTAAGGACATAATAATATTTTGATTGATGATGAATGGAACAAGAGATTACATATTGTTAACGAAAATGACTAAATATTTAGATTGTCACTTTGTGGATGCAAAATTACAAGTGTTTATAATTTTGTGAAAATGGATATTTTTAAGTCGTAATAATGCATATGAAAAATAACAAGTGTTTAACTCGTCACAACTGAGTTTAAAGTGTAAGCCTCTGGGTCCATTGAAATGTCTTTTTCTTTCTATTTTTATAAGCGCTTTGAAGATATCTTTTGTGCGACCTCTGCTTAGCAAGTGCTCCATCTTATTCAAAGCTTAATCTTATTCAGATGAGCTGGTTACTATGTCCATGATTTGATTAGAAAGCAGATGCGCGCGATGAGATTGCGACACATATAC